ATGTGGAGATTCAAAGGAAGCACAACAAATCTGGAGTGTCCATGCCAAAACCAATTTGTTACTTTATAATTCAACATGTGTTACCAGCGCCTATTATTAGAAATCCAAATTTCCTCTGTCATGGGAAGAGGCTGAACTAGATCCTTTTAGCCTTGTATAAGTTAATTACAGTACACATGTTAAAGGCTGCATCTGTCTTAGTCAATCTAGTTGATTATTTCAGTGCTTTATTTTTAGTTCTCATCAAGGTGAAGGATGACACTAATATAAATGGAGGGTTTTCCGCAGATGCTGCTCTACTAAGTGCTCTCCAGAACCAACCCTGCCAGGACTCTGACAAGAGCTTCTTTCCCTGAGACATACTGCTCCTGAGATGGTTTACATGCAGTACCAAGTGAGCCAAGGAAAGAAAATTCTTCTCAGGCTTTGACTGCAAGTTGCAGAAAAGGTAGCCAGTTCCTGCCCCAAAAAAGAAGTAATAGCAACCCTAGGGCTGTCTGTCAGACTGTCATCTTAGAGAGTGGCTACAATCTCAACAGGGCTCCGTGTCTATACCAAGCTCCTCTTAAAGCATATCTTATTGTTGTTGTGACTGAATGCTTTCGTTCATTCACCATACAGTGTCTGTGCATGACTGTTCTCCCTATTCCACTTCTACTGCCGAGCGTCTCACATTATTTACCTTTCTGAGTCAGATCTTTAGTGGGTGTAAATCAGTGGAACTCCACTGAAGTCATAAGAACATAAGAACTGCCATACTGGGTCAGACCAAAGGTCCATCTAGCCCAGTATCCTGTCTTCTGATAGTGGCCAATGCCAGGTGCCCCAGAGAGAATGAACAGAATAGGTAATCATCAAGTGATCCATCCCCTGTGGCCCATTCCCAGCTTCTGGTAAACAGAGGCTAGGGACACCATCCAAGTCAGTGGAGCCATACCAAGTTCATATTTGAGAATGATCTGACCCTCCAAATCTAGCAAACCTCTAATTACATGAATCAGGCTTTTCAGGATCGGGCCCTAGGTAGGAAAGAAGGAAACATATCACTCTGAGATTTAAGTATTGTGAAAAAAAACACAGAGTGGCTCACTTGCTGCAGGAATGGCAGTGCCAACTGGGTGCACATCTAACCTACCAGTCTCTAAGCCCAGGATTCATTATACATTAGAATCCCCTTCACCGGCATGGACTGCAGTGGAGACAGAAGACAGTGACAATGAAGCAATCCGTGGTCATGTGTCTCCAAGGCCGCCAGGGACATCCCTATGTTTACTATTCGTCCCTGTACACAGCACAGTTCACAAGTATCCGTGTTTTACAAAATTAGAACAAACACATGGACAAGTGACATACAAATTCGGAGCAGAGAAAGTCTTCAACTTAGATTTTAAAATAGTCATTAGGTCCAACAACCAGCTCTTCCTGACTTAGGTGACTGGGGACGCTGTCCCAGCTTATGCAAAAGGAGCCTTCATTTTGAGGGTTACTGTTTCCTGCAGTAATGTTTACCTTGGACCAGCCATTCTTGCTCCGCAGAGCAGGGAGACTTGCAATCTGAGCAGAGAAACGCGCTGAGGTGGTGCTCAGAGATGGTACCAGTTATATCTGTTCCTCTTCCCCTACTGAAGGGAGGAACAGGTCCTCATCTATTGTAAATTGCCAAATCTCCATTGTCTTCACTGGAACGACATTGATTTACACAGCTGAGGATCTGGCCCATAATGTCTTGGCTTCCTAGGGATTTTCCTTTACACGGATTTTTGCCATTAAAACTTAATTTATCTTATGAATGGCATTTCAGCTCCTGGTTATCCCAGGTGCTGGCTGTCCTACCTTTGATTGACATTTGTATGGCATTTGGTACAATTGGCCCGGCCTACATTTGCTGGATCACAGTAAAATCCTGCCAGACTGCTGAGTCTACTGGCACTGCGCCTTGTGGCAGCTATTTGGCAGGATGGTAGAATGACACTGCCTGAAAATAACTGAGATTGCATGGATCTGGGCTTTTGCAAGGAGAGTTTGTACTGTGTGTTGCCCTCCTTTGGATTCCCTTTGTGTGCTCTGTGTGTTGCTCATGTTGACTCTGGAAAAACTGGCTAGGAAAGAGAATCTGCTATTACACACAACATTGGTCCAGCCAGATCTCAGGCACTGTCTCAGGGCCTCACCTCAAAAACGATCTAGCAGACCCTGCAAAGGTCCAGCGAAGGGGAAGATCATCCATGGTTCAACTGTGATGGCCCTGGTGCTCAGTTATGGCTGAGGTACTCTCAGTGACACTCAGGAGGGCGGGTGACTTTGTGCTACCCCCCAGATTCTGGAGCCAGCTATATACCAGTCCGTTTCCCCAGCATAACTTAGAGCAGCTTGAGGGTTGCTTTAAATTATACCAGCTGCCTCAAAAACTTATTACAGCACCTTAGAATCAGCGGGGTATCGGTGACCTCTAGTCGTCCCTCCAGTGATGCCCCCTACTCTAGCCATAGGTTGGGAGTGACATAAAAACCCCTTTCCAAGCAACACGCCCTTCGTTGGGATGATCCTCCCATGGCCCGCGGTGCAGTCCCCAGCAGCCCCAGCACAGCTGCAGATGGAGACTGACAAAACTAGGCTTATTTCCCTTGGAAGGGAGAGTCAGGCTATGTCCATACTACACGCTAGGGGTGTGATTTCCGGCTTGCATACACCTACCCGCGTTAGCTCGGTGAGAGTTAGCATGAGTATAAATAGTAGTGCAGCTGCAGTAGCACTGCAGGGGCAGCAGCGGTACTGCTTAGCCGGCTGAGTATGTACCCAAAGGGTCCAGGTGGGTTTGTACTCTGGTGTTTAAGCCGTTCCACCGCTGCCTGCACTACTGCGGCGACGCGGCTGGTTACGCTCGCGCTAGCTCTCATCAACCTACTCTGAGTAAATCTACTCTGGCTGGGAATCACACCCCTGGCTCATGGTGTAGATGTGGCCTTACGGGGGGGTCGTTGAGAAATTCAATGTTACATGGGGCATATTGAAAGTCTCTTCTTAGACACACTTTTTCCAAGGTGAGATGCAAGGAGAAACACAGTGAAATTAAAGGGAAGGGCATTTAGAAGCAATACAAGGAAATGCTCAGAACCCAGCTCCATTGTTGATATTGGTCTCTGACCGTACAGCTGTAAGTGACAGACAAACTGCAATGGGTTCTTACTGAAATTGTCGGGGTATAACAAGTGGGATTGCAGGAATCAGGGAGATGGTGGCGATGCACACAGAAAGGCAAGGAGATTCCCAACCTCACCAGCAAAACAGACCACTTGACAAAGCAGGGCGATCATAACAGTAAGGTCCACAAAACAGTAAGGTCAGAATTCAACCTGGTATATTCACCTCCCTTACCGAGCTCCGTTAAAGAAGAATTAGAGAGATGCTGCAACCACAATCCCTTAGGATCTCAGTGTGGGTACAGTCTGAGAATTTAATCGCAGCTTATATTAGCCACCACTGTCAGTAAGTACAGGCACAGTCTGGGTGGGAGAAGCGGCTATTAAAAAGGAAGGGGAGAGTTAAGGTGTAATGCAGTAATACAGCTCTGATGGGTATATAAATGGAGCAAGGTTTTTTCCATTATATGTCTAAAACCCTGTTTCTGGAGGTCTGTGAGAGGTGTCAGTATGACAAACACACTCCACTGTAAAAAGAACAGGAGTACTTGTGGCACCTTAGAGACTAACAAATTTATTTGAGCATAAGCTTTCGTGAGCTACAGCCCACTTCTTCGGATGCATAGAATGGAACATATATTGAGGAGATATATATACACATACAGAGAGCATGAACAGGTGGGAGTTGTCTTACCAACTCTGAGAGGCCAATTAAGTAAGAGAAAAAAAACTTTTGAAGTGATAATCAAGCTAGCCCAGTACAGACAGTATGATAAGAAGTGTGAGAATACTTACAAGGGGAGATAGATTCAATGTTTGTAATGGATCAGCCATTCCCAGTCCCTGTTCAAGCCTAAGTTGATTGTATCTAGTTTGCATATCAATTCCAGCTCAGCAGTTTCTCGTTGGAGTCTGTTTTTTAAGCTTTTCTGTTGCAAAATTGCCACCCGCAGATCTGTCATTGAATGACCAGACAGGTTAAAGTGTTCTCCTACTGGTTTCTGAGTGTTATGATTCCTGATGTCAGATTTGTGTCCATTAATTCTTTTGCGTAGAGACTGTCCGGTTTGGCCAATGTGCATGGCAGAGGGGCATTGCTGGCACATGATGGCATATATGACATTGGTAGATGTGCAGGTGAACGAGCCCCTGATGGTATGGCTGATGTGATGGTACAGGAGCACGGGAAAGCCGTCTGCTGGAGATGTGGGGAGCTTGGTAAGTGCTGCTAAGCGTGCCTGCATATATATGTGTGTTTGCTGTGTGCGTACATGCTGCCCAGGTGCGCACATGTACATATGCTTATATGGGCACGTATGTATTTGTAGTGTCAAGTTTTGTACTACATACTGGCAACCAGTCATAGAGGTCCCACTGTCCCTCGCAGCATCCCCAGAGCTGTAGGAGGAGCAGGGGAGTGGGGAGGAGAGCAAGACCCCTTAGATGTGGGAGGAGAGGGCTTGGGGGATGCTAAGGATAACTGGGGGGGTCAAGGTTTTGGGGTGGGAGAGAGCTCTGGGGGATTATGGGAGTGAATTTAAGGGGGTGGGTTGCTAGGGGGTAGGTGGGAACCTGGGAGAGGTGTTGGGTTGGGGTCCTAGCTCAGTGTGGGGGAACAGGGCACTGCTCTGTCCACATGGCTGAGCCACTTCCAGCCCAACTCCCTGTGTTACCTGTTCCCCTGGGGTCCCCTCAATAATGCCCCCCCCCCGGGGAAGATGGACCCTCCGACTCCAGGTCTACTGATCATTATACACCAGATGGGGGAGCTTCTCTCATTCTCTCTTAAAGAGTCATTTGTGGGGAGGGGATTGAGAGCAAACAAACATGATACTGGCTCTATATGGCTTGAGTACTCACCCAGGATGGGGAGGCGGGGGCGACCCAAGATCCAGTCCCCCTGCTCTTTATGGGGGAAGTCATCCTCCTCCTGCTCCTCCTTCATCTCTGCCCCGCTCTCAGGGCCTCTCACTAAAAAAGCACAAGGTGCCTAACTCCAAAGGGTTCCTGGCTGTGAATGGCAAGCATATTTACAGGCTACGGTGTAATTTAGCGCGGCCACTTGCACATTCGCCGAATACCGGACATTCCAGCACTTCCTGGAATAACGTGGGCCTACCCCTGCCGGAATGACCTTGCTGCACATGAGGTCACACTGCTCAGGGGGACAGCATTGTGAAGAGCACAGCTCTCCACCCCTGATATGTGCAAGGTCACGGCAGGGGAGGGCAGAGCTACACGGTCTTCGAAATGGCATCCCCATCCAATACAGGACAAAACCATCTCCAGTTTTGTCTCGGTACCAGACAGGGGACAAATCACACAGAAAGAGCATTGTCTGGTTTAAAACTGGATGAATAACCTGCCTAGTAGACTAAATTTGTTAGTCTCTAAGGTGCCACAAGTACTCCTGTTCTTTCTGCCTAGTATAATTACACTTCGCAAGCCCAAAGCTATTACTGTGTAACCTGCCTTGGGAGACAGAAATAATAATCATATGCTTATCCCATAATAACAGGGCCACACCAATTCTTTGCGACTTCCTCTTTGTTAATTAACATTGACATGGGTAACCAGTAGCTTCAGTGTATAACCTCTCCACAATAGCCACTCCCACATGGGAACCCTGGACCCGCCCTTGGTCTCGTTCACTGTTGTAGGATCTCCTGGGTCCGAACCAGAAGATGTAGCTGGCATTTCCAACACCTGGGTACATCAGATGGGCAACATCTTCAGCGAAGTATTTGTGATGATACTATACTGTGATTGCTCAGATCTGTCATTAAATGCTTGGCCAATTTGTTTCAGACATGAGGCCTAATGTTCTTTTGAGCCTCTGCCATCTTCATTGACTTTCAGAGGTCTAGCTTCATTACATATCTCTAACTTTGCCATTCTATAAGTACCTGGATCTGAGAGACTAGTGTAGATTGGTGCACCTCAGTCCCTTCTGTTGTCTTCCTACGCAATGGCTGAATCTCCCGAGGGCTATAGTATTTTGGTCTAATTCTGATAGTTGGTTTGGTGTGGGGGTGGCTGGGTGGTGTTGGTGGCCTGTGATGTACAGGATTTCAGAGTACATGATTTGGTAGTCCCTTCTGGCTTTAAACTCTGTGGCTATGCTTTCCCTGCCCATTGGAGAAAGTTCTAGATGCTGCCAGGCCAGTGAATGGTCTAATCTCCTTAACTTGATAAGTGCTACACAAGACAGGGGAGAAGGATGGGGGTGCCAACGGGAAAAGTCAGGAAACAGAGGTTCAAAGACAGGGCAAAATAATGCTAGATAATAAAGAAATTGTGGAGGTGAGTGAAATCTGAGAAACACAATTAAAATTGTACACAAGTTGCATATCACCCTGGGCCCACAGAGGAAATTTTTCCTGTAGACTAGCCCTCTGAGTCTTCAGCGGAGAGATGAAACAGCAAACTGGCCCCACTCCGGGTGAACCTATCATCTGATTCATTCTTTTTAGGAAGTGATCTCATCTGCGCTATCAAATTTCTGTACCTCTCACCCCGGTGCTGTTTCTAATGGGCGGGGGAACCTCTCTGTTACCAAGAAACACTTGTTATCTTCTGTTACCAAGAAACACTTCAGACTTAGTTTATTTCCAGCTGACAAGTGCTTCCTTATCTGTTGGATCATTGACAATTCCCCCTTTGCTTACCCTGTGCAGAACTACACTCCTGGAACATTTGGCAAAGGGAAAGAAATGGAGGTTTGCCCTGAACAGAAATGAAGAATTGGGCTTCTAAGGAGTATAAAGGCCCTTCCTGAGCTCTCAGAGTGAGAGAGCAATAAAAGGAGCAGCATTAGGGCTGGATGATTTTATAATAATTATCAGTCTTGTCTGTTCTGCTAGTGCCTATGGGGTGGTGCTAGGCCCTGTACAAACACAGATTAATAGCTGGTCCGTGCCTTGAACAGCTGTGATTGGAGTGGTCACCAAACACATTATAAGACCTTAAGCCTTGTAATTTCAAGACTATACAGAACTGACATTATTTTCCATGGATGTGTGTGCAGAGGGGAAAGGACAGTCAGAAAGGGTATGTCTACACTGGCAGAGCTACATTGCCGGCTGTTACAGTGCCGCTCAGAGAGCGCTGAAGAGAAATCGCTGTTGTGTGTTCACATTGTCAGCTGCCTGCGCAATAGCGTGTTCACACTTGCAGCGGTATTCGGAGCGGTGCACTCTGGGCAGCTATCCCACAGAGCATCTCCTCTTCTGCTGCTAAGAGTTATGGGAAGGCGGAGGGGGTCGCAGGGCATCCTGGGGTCCTGTCTCAATGCCTCGTGATGCATTGCTTTGCATCCCAGCAATCCCTGTGCTTCTGTCCGGATTTGCCGCCATCTTTCAATGGTTTGTGTACTGCGCGCTCTGCCTCTTCGGTCTGCAGGAATGGATCCCACACTGTTGACCAATATGCTGCTCACTCTCACTAACACGTCACGAGTGGCAATGGAGTTATTCCTTAAACTACAAATGCAAGAAGAGTTCAACATTAATCTTGCCACGCGTAGTAGCTACAACATGAGACTGCTTGTGGCATTCATGGAGGTGCTGACTACAGTGAAATGCCACTTTTGGGCTTGGGAAACAAGCACTGAGTGGTGGGATCACATTGTGATGCACGTCTGGGATGACGAGCAGTGGCTGCAGAACTTTCGGATGAGGAAAGCCACATTCATGGGACTGTGTGATGAGCTCACCCCAGCTCTGCAGCGCACGGACACGAGAATGAGAGCTGCCCTGTCATTGGAGAAGTGCATGGCGATTGCACTGTAGAAGCTGGCTACTCCAGACTGCTACCGATCAGTCGCTAACCAGTTCAGAATGGGAAAGTCGACCATTGGACTCATGTTGATGGAAGTGTGCAGGGCCATTAATCGCATCCTGCTCCGAAAGACCATGACTCTGGGCAACGTGCATGACATTGTGGCTGGCTTTGCACAAATGGGCTTCCCTAACTGCGGAGGGGCGATAGCTGGCATGCATATTCCAATTCTGGTACCAGACTACCTAGCCACTGTGTACATTAATCAGAAGGGGTATTTCTCTATGGTTCTCCAGGTGCTTGTGGATCACCGTGAGCATTTCATGGACATTAACACAGGCTGGTCCGGAAAGGTACATGATGCACGCATCTTTCGGAACACTGGCCTGTTCAGGAAGCTGGACCAGAAGATCACTGTAGGGGAAGTCGAAATGCCCATTGTGATTCTGGAAGACCCTGAGTGACAGATTTTTGTTACCAATCTACCTGAAGCGTCAGGTGATTAGGCTGAAGCCGCAGGATTGTTTGGGGAGGAGATGACGAAACACACCAAATGTTTACATTTTAAAGCTTTATTAATAAAAAAATAGGATATCTCCATTTATTTTATCTCCTAGAACT